AAAAAAAAAAAAAAAGCCAATTTCTTCTGAGAAAGTTAGTGATTAACACTTGGGAGGAGGAACCCATTAAATGCTAGGAGAAAGTTCATGATAAACAGTTGGGAGGAGTAGCCCATTAAATGCTAAGAAATTGAGCTCCAGGAGGAATTTGTAGGAAGCAATAGTGGAGCCTGAGGCTGTGCTGAAGAGCACAGAGCACAGAGCAACAGGATCCAGTTAAGTTTTCCCTTCTGCTTCCACCCAGGACCAACTACTTCTAGGTTCCCACCACCCCCTCCAATCAATCACTGAGCTTTCTCCACTCCAGTCCTGAAATAAACTCCAGCTGATCTCTTTTATTCCCCAGCCCTCTTTCTGCTGCCACTGACTTCACTTTCCTCCCAGGTAGGCTTGTCAGAAAAATGCAAGGTGCTCTGTTAAATTTGAATTTCAGATAAACAATGAATACTTTTTTAGTTAAGTATTCTCAAATATTGTATGGTGGGAGAAGGGATATATTCATATCAAAAAAGTACTTGTTTATCTGAAATTCAAGTTTAATTTTTAGTCCTCCATCTTTGTTTGCTAAAGCTGGAAGCTCTACCCCACAGCCGTTACCAAAGCCTTCCCCAGCCTCCCAACCTCTCTCAAGATAACTGTTCTTTGGTTTTTCATTGCTCACAGGGTAAAAATCTCAATTCCTAGTCCTCTGCCTCCTTGCCCAGTCCTATTTCTTCCCCTTCCTACCCATTGCTCTCTCCCCACCCTCCATCCTGGCTTGTTGGGACAATAGGCCCTATGCCCTTTGCTTTAGACACTGTTCTATCTGGAGGACATTCTCCTCTGCCCCTCCTCTGGGTAGGCGGATTCCTAATGCTCTCTAACATTCAGGTGTCACCTCTTCTTAAACTCTCATTCTACTACCCACACTGGGTTAGTAGCTCCCTTCTCTTTGATCCCAAAGAACCAAGTGAATTTTTTTTAATCCCAACACTAGTCACCCTGTCAAAATTGTAATAATCTGGTCTTTTACCAGCTCCCTTGGATTATGAGTTTCTGGAGAGCATGGGCTGTGTCCTTCAGCTTTGTTATCTCTAGAACTAGAAGTTTCTGTCTGGTTGGTAAATTAAATCATTAAATTAATCAATTTTATTAATAAATAATTAATAATTTTATAGATAAGACCTGTGTAGGCCAGGCACAGTGGCTTATGCCTGTAATCCTAGCACTGTGGGAGGCCGAGGCAGGTACATTGCCTGAGCTCATAAGTTCAAGACCAGCCTGAGCAAGAGCAAGACCACTATCTCTAAAATTAGCTGGCCATTGTGGTGGGCGCCTATAGAACCAGTTACTAGGGAGGCTGAGGCAAGAGAATCGCTTGAGTCCAAGAGTTTGAGGTTGCTCTGAGCTATGATGCCACGGCACTCTACTGGGGGTGACAAAGTAAGACTCTGTCTCAGAAAAAAAAAAAGGCCCTTGTAAAGAGGAGACATCATTCATTGAATGCCCCTTGCCAGCTAAAGTGAGGAGTCTCACTTTGTTGCCCTCAGTACAGTGCTGTAGTGTCATAGCTCACAG